ATATGTGGGTGAGAATTTTTAATTTGTATATTTTGTCAGAGCAAGAAAATACTGAATATGTATGTCTGCATTTTTGTTCCTACTTTAACCACATTATTTTCCTCCCTTTTGAATTCCAAATTCCGGGTTAATTTGTTGTCATGTGCACTATATCTTACAATGTAGAATTTCTCCCCCTTTCTCTCTCCCTCTCCTTCTCTTTCTCCTTCTACTTCTGCATCTCTCGCCTCCTCTCCCTCTCCTTCTGCATCTATCTCTCCTCCTCTTCTTCTCCTTCTGCTCCTTCTCTTTCTGCATCTCTCCCCTCCCTCTCCTTCTCCTTCCACATCTCTCTCTCTCTCCCTTTTCTTCTCTTTCTCCTCTTCCTCCTTCTGCATCTCTCCCTCCCTCTCCCTCCCTTTCTTCGTCTCTCTCCCTCTTCTTCTCTTTCTTCTCCTTCTCCTTCGGCAGCTGCATCTCCTTCTGCACCTCCTTCTCTCTCCTTCTCCTGCATCTCTCTCCCCCCCCTCTCCTCCTTCTTGTTCTGCATCTCCCTCTCCTTCTGCATCTATCTTTCCTCCTTCTGCATCTCCCTCTCCTTCTGCATCTATCTTTCTCCCTCTTCTTCTCTTTCTCCTCCTCCTTCTTCTGCATCTCTCCCTCCCTCTCCCTCCCTCCCTTTCTTCATCTCTCTCCCTCTTCTTCTCTTTCTTCTCCTTCTCCTTCGGCATCTGCATCTCCTTCTGCATCTCCTTCTCACTCCTTCTTCTGCATCTCTCTCCCCTCTCTCCCTCTCCTTCTCCTCCTTCTCCTTCTGCATCTCCTTCTCCTTCTCCTTCTTCATCTCCTTCTGCATCTATCTCTCTCCTTCTCTCTCCCCCTGCTTCTCCTCCTTCTCCTTCTGCATCTATCTCGCCTCTCTCTTTCTCTTTCTGCATCTATCTCTCTCCTTTTCCTTCTGCTCCTCCCTCCTTCTGTCTCTCTCCCCCTCTATTTCCCTCTCCTTCTCTCCCTCTCTCCCCCCTTCTCCTTTCTAGTGAATATTTTAGAAAGAGGAAAAAGAGACATGCAAACACTTTTCAGTTCCTGATTTTCAGTCTGCACCTGATTATTGTATCTAACTAGAGTTAAAGGTTCTGCTTTAGGAAAGAACGCAACTGATGAATTTGGTCGAGTCCCTCTCTGTCAGCCCTTTGAAGGAGGCAATGGTAACCTGTTCTAGGCTTCCCAAGAGTATGAAGCAAACTCCTGGTCCTGACAAAAAAACCCTTTTATTAATTGACTGTGAATTCTGCTCATTCACATCCAGTAAAGTCTTTCAAGGGAGGATCTGCAGTCACAGACCTTATCTGGCTTGGAGAGCTGCCAGGCTGATATCTGCAGAACTTGGCAAGGAGTCTCCGAGGGTCACGAGCCAATTAAATGAACCAATTGTCTCCTGCAAACTCCACTCCCCTTTCGTTCCTCTTTTATCTCCTCTGGGAGGGGCCATTCACCATCCACCTGTGACCTTACTCCCAAGTTGACTCCTGTTCTTTAACTGTTCCCTTCATCTGGCAGCTCTTTGTATGCACACACCGGGAACAGGCTCCAGCTGTTCTTCTGCCTCACTGATGTCTGCTTCCGAAGGTAGCTGATAACTGTCAGATGGCTCTGGCCCCCGCTCTGCCTCCGACACAGAGCCCTCCTCAGAGCCTTCCCCAGACGCCAGGACTGGCCCATGTTCCTCCCCAACCTTCTCACTGTCCGAATCTGACACCAACTCTGTTAGCCGCTGGCAAGCCACAGCACAGCCCTCTTTTGAAATCTTGTGGAGAAAAAAAAACTTTTTAATTACTCTCTACATTCACCTCTTGGAAACCAAACTAAATTGGGACTATCAGTGCTGTAGGCAAGAGAAATTCTAAGAAGAAAAACAAGAGATAATAGATATTTACATGAGCGAGGGGCCTTCAGATGATTGATGGCAGTGGCTAGTTCTGGAACAGGAACAGTTATGAAGGATGATATTTTAGAAGATAAAGAGAAAAGTACACAATAAAAGAAAACAAACCCATTGAGGAATAAAAAGGAGGGGATGGGATGGAGAATAGGAAACCAAGGCGATGATTTGAGGCAGAATATTCAAGAAATTGAGGGACTCGGTCGCTCAGAGGCTAAGACACTGAGCTTGTCGATCAGAAAGGTCGGCAGTTCGGCGGTTCGAATCCCTAGCACTGCATAAGCTCCCGTTACTTGTCCCAGCTTCTCTGCCTCCTGAGTCCCAGCTGATTGGGAGGGAATGGGGATTTTGCAGTATCCTTCCCCTGCCACGCCCTCTGTGTCTCTNACAGTTGACTGTTGTATATTTAGGAGCAAGGAAATTTCACAACTGGATTTGTTGCACAGGTAGCATACTATCACAGTTCCACACTGGAATTCACTGAGCTCCTGAGCAATGTTCCCTCTAATGTGCGCGGCTGCATACATGGCAGAAAAACACTGTGCGGCAGTTTCCAACTGCCGCGCAGTGATTTCTAATGTCACAGGCTCTGGAAGCTGAGGGGCCTCAGATTTTCTGTCCTAGTTAGGGTTAGCATGGGCATGGGGGTGGGGACGGTGGCAGGAGCTTACGCAGCATGGCCGGTTTCCTAGGACCTAGGGGCTGGCTGTGCCGCTCAAACTGCCGTCAGTCGCCCTGTGTTCAGCAAAGCAAGTGCGGGGGAAGTCCTTTGCAGGTGGCTAGAACTGGCCACCCGCAAAGGACCTCCACAGACTTGCTTTGATGAGCACGGGGCGACTGATGGTAGTTTGCACCTGGCGCTGCGGCTGATGTGAAGCCGCCAAAGCCACCGCTGTCACCGGAATTACTGCTGCCACCACCTCCTCCTTCTCCAATAGCACTGCTGGATTTGCTGCCTGGTGCTGAAGCTGAGGTGAAGGCGCCAAAGCTCCCGCCGGTGCCCCCATCCATGGCAGTGGCAGTGGTGCCTCCCCCTCTGCTCAGAGCACCTGAGCTGGGCCCCATGTTACCCCTGCCACCGCCTCCTCCGCCACTGTGCTTTTGAGAAGCCATGAGGCCTTTTTTTCCTGTGGGGCGTGGGCTGTATGGCAGATATGGACCGACTGCGGAAGGGGAAAAGGGCACTGGAGCCCTGGCAAAGGTGAGGTGGCGAGGAGGAACCCGATGGCAGCGCCATCGCGGGAGCCAGTAGGAAGGTGGCGTAGGGGACGGAAGCAGGAAAAATAAGGCTTCATGGCTTCTCAAAAGCACAGTGGCAGAGGAGACGGCAGCAGGGGTAACGCGGTGCCCACTCAGGTGCTCCGAGCAGAGGAGGAGGCGCTGCTGCCGCTGCCACAGGCAAGGATGCCAGCGGGAGCTTTGGCTGCTTCATCTCAGCTGCAGTGCCGGGCAGCAAATGCGGGGGTGCTGTTGGAGGAGGAGGAGGTAGCAGCAGTTATTCTGGTGGTGGAGAGAACTCATTGGCATCTTCAGCAGCGGCCCTGCCCCCGGTGAAAAAACCAAAGATGGAGCAGATCCAGGCTGATGATGTCGCNCCAAAAGAAAACCTGTAGCAGCAGATGCTACCCTGGAGCAAGGAGAATTGGGTTGGGTGAGTGGGGGTGGCCAGCCTCCAGCTCCCCTTTTGGAAAAGCTAAGAGGGAGCCACGGCTCGGGAGGGGGTCCCGTACTTTTGTCCGGACTCCAAGAGGGTTTCCGTGCGGTTCTGACAATCTTCCGCGGACAGGTTCCAGTTCTTGACGTCTCCTTTCACAAAACCCGCAACGATGACAAAGCTGAGCACCAGCAAGTTGATGGCCGTGAAGATTTTATTCACCAGGGCAGATTCGCTCACTCCGAAGGACAGCAGGCCTGGAAGCCAAAGAAGAAAAGACCGGCGCCTGTGGTTGCTCCTCGGAGGGAAAGGGGGGGAAGGTCTCCGGGTTTTAAGCTTTCCTCCGGAGGGCAGAAACAGGCCAGGCAGGTTAAAACCCCGCTTCTGTGCCCTCCTGGCACCAGTTGCCTCATGCCATTCTGTTCTGCTGGCTCTATTGTGCTTTGGGGGATGTGGGCCCTTCCTGCAGCTGTACCCAAGCTGCGACTCAGCACCTTCCTGGCTATTGTTAATGACCAACATCGGCACATTCTGTTGGCCTGAGTGTTAGCAGCAATTACCGTATTTTTCAGAGTATAAGACGCCCTTTTTCCCCACCAAAAAAGAGGGTGAAAATTTGTGTGCGTCTTATACACCAAATGTAGCCCCGGCTAGCCGTCATCCCCCACCCTTTGACCTCTGCCACCCAGCAATTTGCAGCAAACAGCCTGTTTCAGTTTCAGCTTTAGCACAACCTGATTAGGACAAGCAGCTGACAGTCAGTTGGATCAGCTTCCCAACCATCAGCTGTTTCAGGCTGCAGGGATTGCAATTGCCTATTGCTGCCTCCCATTTTTCACCTTTGCACCCCATTTTTGGCCTCTGCGTGCACTGTTTTTGGTTTCTGCGTGCCCCATTTTCCTTCCATTCTGATCCCCACCACCCAGAGTTGGCAGAAAATGGGGCGTGGGGAGTCTGAAAAGGGAGCATGTGAAGGCGGCAACAGACTATGGCAATCCCTGCAGCCTGAAACAGCTGATCGTTGATCCAACCGACTATCAGTTGCTTTTGCGATTCAGGCTGTGCTGAAGCTGGAACAGGCTGTTTTCTGCAAGGAGGCAGCAAATTGCTGGGAGGCAGAAGCAGATTTTTCTTTTTCTTGTTTTCCTCCCCAAAAGCTAGGTGGATCTTATACTTCGGAGCGTCTTATACTCATACGGTACTTCCTGAGCACCCAAGAGCCTCATGGAATCGGATCAAACGCCAATCCAGCCGCATCTTTGCAAGGCCAGGTGGTGTCAACCTGTGCAGGATGGAAGACACAGCACAGCAACCGGAAAGCTTGCCAATTTCCAGACACGGTCCAGTTCAGCTCTCTGCTCTGGCCGCAGCCAATCAGCCAACCTTGTGGAGACCCAACACCACCCTCCCGCTGATTCCCAAGGAATGCCAGCCCTGCTATCATCCTCCTCTCTCATGGCCCACGTACATCCCTTGTCGACTGGCTGATCATTAATGGGTTCCTCTGGGGGCAGCCAAGGTAGGAGGTCAATGTCGCTGAACCTTGGCAAGTTGAAGTCTACCCATCTTCCACCTGCCAAAGTCGAGAAACTCCGCAGTGGAAGATCAATGCGCGGAGCACATTTTTCTCCTTCCTGCCGTGAGTCTCCCATCGCTCCGCTTTGCTTGTTTAAAACGTTTACACAGCTGCCCATCTTATATCAAACTCTGCATCAGGGTTATGAAAAGGGAGGAAAAACAAGCTCCGTGCCAGGCATATGTTTTATAAAAATCCATGGGGGCCCCAGGCACTTCCTGCAAGCAGCATTGCTGTGCAATTGATGTTCTATACATTTCTGTTTTCTTAAGATTGAATCAATTTGTACAGCATCTTGAGAGGCTTCACAGCATTACCTTCTTAAACAAACAGGCCAGCTCTGCCCTGGATGGATGGGTTCCTGCCAGCTCTAAGCTCTTCTATAGAAGAGGGTCCACAAATCTACAGTGCCATTTAGAGCCTGTTCCAGCTCCCTCCCTCCTGCCCGTCCTCAGATCATCAAGATGAAGAGCGAGAGGAGGAATTCTGGGAGTTGAAGTCCACAAGTCTTAAAGCTGTCAGGTTTGAACACCCCTGGGTTTTTTTCTAAAGGGTTAGGGGTGCAAGGGTCTTGTAACTTGACAGCTTTAAGACATGAACACTTCAATGCTGGAGTTTCTGAGCCAACATTATGGTTGCTAAGCAAGAGCGTTGTTAAGCGAGTTTCACCACATTTTACAAGTTGGCCACGCCCACCCGGTCACATGGCTGCCAAGCCATTCCCACCCAGCCATATGG